AGGGATTTTAGAAAGTTTTTTGACATTACCCAGCGGGCATTTGTTTTTTAAAGTTATGTTTTAAATGTATTTTAAATGTCTTTTAAACGTCTTCTAAACATTTTTACGTAAAGAACGTTTGAAAGACGTTTAAAAAACGTTTAAAAGGCATTTAGAACGTAACTTTTAAAAACAAATGCCCGTAGGGTATTAAAATATATTTTTTACGATTTTTTATGTAAAAAAAACTTTGCGGTACTGGATTTACCGCATTTTAAGATAAGTTAAGATGAAATTAATTTAAATGCATAATTTATTACATTATATAACACTTTATAAAGAAATTTTCTGCCCTCAAGTCATTGCCGCGTCGACCACAAAACCGTTAAAGGGTACTGTAATGGTTTGTGGTCAAAATAAATCTAATACAAAACCCACGTTCAATAATTAAAATTAAAAAAATCAAATGACAGTTTTAATGAAACGGCGAGATTTGTAAGTCAAGCCTGTAGAGAATATTCAACTATGCGAATTATGTTCTTTATTGCTATAAAGTGATATCAATGATGTAAATACAGAATATATTGAACTATTATCGAGAGGAGGTTCCAACTCATAACTCCCTCAAAAATACTGGCAAATCATGTTATTAATTGTTTCACTATGCTTGATGCAGTGAAAAAAAGTTTACGTATATAGTTCCGATATATTTGACTTAAGAAAAATGTCCGAATATATTTTATATGAATATAATTTAAATCAATGCTTTATTTGTGAGGATCATTTAGAATGGAGCCTTTCTCTTGTTAATCGAACAATAATAAATATTTTTTTTAACAATGAACAAAAAATTTTAAGTAACGGAAAATGTAAAGATGCTGTATTATCTTTTAAAAGTAGACAAATGGAAAAGAAAAAAATATATATGTATTTTATGTGTATGTATATGTAGTTTATGTTTGTATATATATCTAGTTTTTGTTTGTATATATATTTTTGTAATAAACTTGCTATTAGTTTTTTTTTTGTTTTTTTTTTCAATTTTTGCATAAAAGGACCACTAAAACTATGTGGCGCAGTGGTAGCGCACTTGCTTCAGAAACGTAAGATCTGTGGTTCAAACTCCACCTATGAGCAACTTTTGCGACATCAGTTGGGAAGGAGGCGTGAACTTCCTATTAAATGCTCTTCCGCGGTGCTCTGTGATAAGACCGTAAGGACTTCTTGGGGCACCTAAATCAAATAAAAAAAAAAAAAACTGGGATAAAAATAATTGTTAGGAATAATGCTCATTAGAAATATATTATATTTTAACGCTATTTGTTAGCAATAAGAAAATTTATTTAAATTGAAACGCGAAATTCAGTTTTACAAATTTTACAAAAAATACCAATTTTTAAAAATAAAATCAATCTATAAATTTTAAATAATATTTAAAAAAAAGTAAAAACTAATTAACTTATGGTTTAAACTAAATAATAAACTTTCAACTTGAAAATGTTCGGAAAGATAGAACTTTATTATATAAACCTATTAAAACTAAAAACCCGAAAATTTATAATTTTGAAAAACTGGCCTTATAATTTTCAGCTTATTTTGCAACATATCCGGCCGTGTATTAAGTAGGCCGTAACTGAATTCTTTTACATTGTTCTATTGAATTTTTTTACATTGTTCTATTGAATTCTTATACATTCTTGTACTGAATTCTTATACATTGTTGTACTGAATATTGTTAATAAGAGTTAAACTCTGTTTTTAAGATCAACTTTTGTTTAACGAAACATTAATCAATCAATCATTTATTTCACTTTATAAAATAAAACTAATACAAAGCTAGGATCAGTCACAAACAGTTATATAAATAACAAAAACGTGACAACCTACAAATATTAACCGTAAATTTGAAAAAGCATACATACACACACATATACATAGATACACATATACACACATACATACACACATACATACATACATATATACATACATACATACATACATACATACATACATACATACATACATACATACATACATACATAAATACATACATACATACATACACACATACATATACACACATATACAAATACATACACACACATACACATATACACACATCGCATATACACATACATACACACATACATACATACATATACATACACACATACATAAATACATACACATACACACATACATATATACATATACACGCATACACAAATACATACACACACGTACACATATAAACATACACATATACACATACATAGACACATACATACATACATACATACATACATATACATACACACATTTATACATGTACGAACATACACATATACACAATACATAGATATACACAATCACTAATATACATATATGTAGATTAACACATATAAATAAATAAACACATTATACGTACACACATATATACCCACATTGCACACTCAGGTTCATACAAATATGTCCATATATGGAACAGAAAGGTAAGGAGTAGAAGAAGAGATAACTGAATAGGTTTAAAAAACTAAAAGCTGTTATATTTTAGAAAAATAGACAAAATTAATTGAAGATAGTGATAATGTTGTGTTAGAATTTTATTGAGTGTTTTTATTAAGGATAAATTTTTTGATATTGGCAATGAAAGCATTTCGAGTAATGTTAGGGATATTTATTTTTATTTAAAGTAACAGAGAGTTCCAAGAGTGAATTGATTGGTATTTAATAGATTGAATACCATATTTGCTAGTTTTTTTTGAAGGTAGAGCTAGATTATAACAAGATATCAATCTAAGATTGTAATTATGAATATCACTTGTGAATTTAAAATAGTTGTTGAAAGCAATAGGCATGGTACTATGATTGATATCCCACACAAAAATACAGTTTAATA